GAGAGAGGAGTGTCTCTATAGAGTGCGAGGATTGCCAAAAAGCGTCCTCAAGTTCAACATTTATAAAAGCTCGCTTCGGAGGTTCTCCTTCATATCTCTTCTCTTTTATCGCTTTCTTTTACTGTTTTCCTTGTATGCAATAGATATTAGGATCATGTAGATAACTATTTAAATTCTGTAATAAATAAATAAGGTAGAAGCATAATTTTATTATCTTTATTTTAAGAATAGTCCATCATAGGGAACCCGAAAGGGGCGTTGTGGGGGTGCTAATACCTTCCCCACACGTAACTAACTCCCTTACCCGACTCTGGTTATAATGGCCAAAGTTGGTTTTTCGAAAACCATTGCCTTCTTTTTTCCTTTTCCGATGTTTTTGGTAAAAATATCGGTGGTGACTCCATAAGAACCCTTCAAAGTTAGTCCTTGGGTTAGCCCGGTTATCGGACAATCCAAGAACACTTTTTCGAAAACCTCGCCCCTAGGTTCAGCCCGGTTATCGGACAACCTAAAGGCGTTGTAACCACACCCATAAAAACGCAAAAATTGGAAAGTCGGAACCATCGCGTCGCTCCGACCGCCTCGTTTTGACGGCGGTGACAACTCCCCTTTCATGACTTCAATCCACTTGGGATCCTCGATTGCTTCTTCAAAGCAAGTTGGTTCAGTCTCGATGTTAGAATACAAAGCTAAATGCACAAGATCATTCTCGTCTTCGTTTCTCCAATCATCTGTCAAGTTGTTATGACAATATCATCAGTATTGATCACATAGTTATCGAATCTACTTAGTGTCTTAATTGATCTAATTGGTCAATTTCCTTTCCCTTTGATTTTAGAAATCGATTGATTTTTGTCTTCTTCGATTCTTGATATTGATTAATTTTTGCCATCTATATCAAGTCTCGATCATTCCTACTCCTTTCAATTTCAAAAAGTGATCGATTTTGACCTCCTTCGATACTAGAGATCGATCAATTTTTTCTTTCAATTTCAACATCACCTAAGTCATCAAATCTAACACTTCGATTTTCCACCATGAAATACCATTTCTAGCAATTTTTCTCATTTACAACAACATCTCTACTAATGATGATGTTCTTCTTGATAGGATCATACAATTTATACAGACCAGTTGCAAGATATCCTACAAAAATCAACTTTTGGCTTCTGTCATCGAGCTTCTACCTCATCTCCTCTAGAACATGTCTCCAAGCATTTGAGCTAGATACTTTCAAATGTTTTATATTTGGCTTTCTCCCAGACTATACTTCTTCTGGAGTTTTCCCTTTTATTCTCTTTGTTGGATATCGATTCAAGATGTATACTGCGGTTGAAATCGCTTCACCCTAAAACAAATGTGATAAGTTTTTGGTCTTCAATATACCTCTAATCATATTAAAAATTATTCGATTTTTTCTTTCTATAACTCCATTGTGTTGTGATTATGAGGGTACTATCTCATGCAAAATACCGTTCTTCTTGCAAAATAATACAAACTCACTTTTCGTATCTCCACTGTTCAATCTTAACACTTTAATAGCTCAACCACATTATTTCTTAACCATCGATTTAAAATCGATGAAGTGAGTAAACACCTCTGACTTCTTCTCGAGCAAGTACACCCACATCTTTTTGCTATAATCATCGATGAGCGTCACAAAATACTTGTTACTAGCTAGAGAAGAAACATCTAAAGGTCCACACACATCTATGTAGACAACCTCCAACACATCCTTGCTTCGCATCTTGATGCTCACTTTAAAAGGATTCTGACTTGTTTTCCTGTTATACAACCTTCACATATGTCTTTACATTTTTGGACTCGAGGTAATCCAATCACCATCTCCTTCTCTACAAGTTGATTCAAATTATCAAAGCCAAGATGACCAAACCTCAAATTCCACAACCAATTATCATTTGAGACTGCTGTTGTAAAATACAAGTTATTCGATACTAAAATATCGACTTAAAAAACTTTGTTCTTACTTAGAGGTGCCTTCAAAATTGGTGTCTCATTCTTATTGAGGATTCTCAATATTTTCTCCATCGATCTCTAATGGATTAAATACCCTTTTTGAAGTAGTTATCTAATACTCAGCAGATTGTGTTTTATAACTGAAACATAAAGCACATCCGAATTTTTTTACATATTTGTCATCTTTTCTTCTAATCATGATTCTACCTTTCCCTTCACAGTTCACTATCGAATTATGTGCAAATTTTACTTTAGATTTACATTATCATCGAGATTGATAAACCAATTCATTTGAAATGACATGTGATTCGAACAACCAATATCAAAGTACTAGGATTCCCCAAAAGTCTCTATTAGTTTTGTCGAGGTCACCATCAATAACATTTCATCATTTGAGTCTTCCTTTTATGTAACATTTGCTTCTTCTTCTTTGCTCCAACAGTCAGTAGCATAATGATCATACTTGTAACAGGTGTAACATTGTACATTCTTCTTACCAACACCAAAACCAGATCGACTACCTCTCCATTTAGAGTTTTTACCACTTCTATCTCTCGATTGTGAAGAGTTCTCCAGTTGTCCTTTTGAGTCCTGTCCACTATTATTTATACCTCTTCTTCGATCTATCTTGTTTGATTTTCCTTGATTCTCATATTCTTCTAGTTTGTTCGTCAACAACGCTTGTTCTGCATTTGACTTCTCTTTCGCTCTCTCATGTAATCGTTGTTCATGAGTCTCTAATAACCCCTGTAGTTCATCAAGTTTCAACAAATCAAGATCCTTAGACTCTTCGATAGTTATAAAAATTATGTCGAAACTAGCATCGCAGGTTCTCAATACTTTCTTCACCACCGCTTATTCCTTCAAGCTTTCACCACATGGTTTCATCAAGTTTGTCATCGACAACAATCTTGAAAAGTATTCTTGGATAACTTCTTGCGTCTCCATTTACAACAATACATACTAACAATGCAAGATTTGAAATGGTACCACCTTTAATATTTTTACTCCTGTGTAACTCTTTGCTAGTATGTCATGCTACCGAGCTTTCCAACAAGATCTTCTCAAAGTTGTTTTCATCAACACACTGATGAATGTAAAACATAACTTTGCAATCACGTTTCTTGGCATTATAAAACATAACACGTTGTACCTGAATGAGATTATCTAATAACCCATCATATCCATTAAAGACTATATCAAGACTTCTTGAAATCCAAATATAGCCTTCATCTTCACGCATCATTTATCATAATTATTCAATTTTTTGCTATTGAACACTGATATGTTGTCATACAACCTAGTTTTTCTTTCTGGATCTTGAAGCTCTTGATACCACTGTTAGTGGAAAGAAGATAGACAAAATAATTACAGAAAGAGTATTGAGGAAAGAGGTACATTGAATGTAAATTGTATTTAATGTAAAATTGCAATCCTCTGAAACACAAACACAATATTTAAAGTAGTAATTGAAATTTATTAGGTTAACTAATCTAACTGAAACAATCATTACAATATTATTGTTGAATTATTAGATTTTTCCTGTTTTGAAAAGTCGAGGGCGGAGATTAGTACTGCAATCCCCACTCCCGTTCTTGCTTCAATTTTATATTTATATTTTAAAAGTATTTCTTTTTATTTTTTATTATATATAAGGTCATTTTTTGTATATTTCACTATTTTTACTTTTTTTTCTACCAAATTTTTAATTCTTTTGTCTTTTTTAATATTTTATATCAATTAGTTCAAATGCATTATTCTCTTTCTCTTACATTTCTTTCTTCACATTTTCTTAATTTCTCCGATAAATATATTTTTTTCAATCTTTTGAACCAATTTGACAAATACAAATTAATTTTTCTTCTTCTTTATCTTTTTTTAAATATTTTACATAAATCTTATTAATAACTAATATTATATTATTTATAATTTATCATTTTATTATATCATATTTTTTAGATCTTATTATTATTATTATTATTATTTGTTATATATTAAATTTTATCTTAATAAAATAATTATATTTTAAAGAATTAAAAAGAATTGATAATTTAAATTTTTATTATATTGAACTATTTAAATGAAAATTAATTTTTTTAATATTTTCTTATAAATTATATATTTCATATTTTTAATTATAAAAAAATTAATTTATATGTAATCAAATTAAATAATTAACTTATTTAATATTTTTTATAAATTATATATTAATTGATAACTTAAAAAATAATTAATTTATATATATGTAATCAAATATTCAAATATAATAATAATAATAATAATAATAATAATGTTATAAATATTAAAAAAATTATTTTTTACATACATTTTTTAATATAAATATAAATTAAAAAATATATATTTAATTAATAATAATTATATATTATAAAATTATAAATATTTATTTATGTTTAAAAAATATTAAAATTTATTTATTATAAATATAATTATTTTTTTTAGAAATAACGTAGATCGAAGATGAGAATAAAAACTATGATAAAGTTAAGATTGGGTGGAAATCCAAAACTTAACGAAAAAGAGAATGTTGATTTCTAACTTCAATAAAAATTAGAGTAGATATGGTTAAATAAATCGAAGAGGCAAAATTATTCTTTTCGATCCGTTACCAATACCTAATATTTTTTTTAAATTATAAAAACATTAATAAAGATATTAAAACTGCATAATTATCATAAAAAAAAGAAAAAAAGAAAAAAAGTAAGGAAGGTGTATAATAAAGTGAAGTGAGATGACGGTTTGATTAGAATTTTTCTTTCTAATTTTGATAAAGATTGGAATTATCTTCGGTTACAATTGGATATAATAATACAATAATAATACTTATTATTATATTAAATTATTTAATTATTTAATGATTTTTTTACAAATACGTTGTTAATATATATTTTAAAACAAAAATCAATGAAGACCACAATTAAGGTGGTACACACCAACACGGAGGAAGCAGAGGTTTCTGTTGGTGAACTGTTAGCACCCACCTTAGCCACCCAATTTGCATTTGCATGTTCCATGATTCCTTGGCTCTCCAAGCTGCTGAGAAATCATTCTATGAGGTCATTGGTGAGAAATACCCTTCTTCAATCCAAAACTATCACAACGTGGACAGCCCTGATGATAGTAGCTTCAGTGGTACAACAACTAGCAGTTGTAACTCGGTTGAGTCCCATTGGAATAACGTTGATCTTACTGACTATAAGCCTTCCATATTGCAAACCAATTTTCCCACTGACTTTGTTTTCCAGGCCAGTTCAATCCAATCTTCTATGAACACCACAAGCAACTTCAGCGTTGCGAACAGTGGATTCTTTGCAAGTTCCACTGCGGCCGGATTTTTGGAGCCAACCTTGTTTAGCAAGAGTGAGTCTGTACTGCAATTTGAGAAGGGTGTGGAGGAAGCCAATAAGTTCCTGCCTAAAGGGAATCGTTTGGTTATTGACTTGGAGAACCCCTCTTTCAGGAAGGTTCCTCCTCTACAGGAGGAAATTAAGGCAGAGAAAGATGAAATTTCTGCTGATTCAACAAGAGGAAGGAAGAATCACGAGCGGGAAGATGAAGAAGCAGATTTACAGGATGGGAGAAGCAACAAGCAGTCAGCTGTGTACATTGATGACAGTGAGATATCAGAATTGCTTGATAAGGTTCTGCTGGGCACAAGATGGAGAAATGAGCCAGCCCCTTTGTGTATCTGTTACGCAGACCTTCCTAATGGAGCATCCTTGAGTGCACAGAAGAAATTAGAAGAAACAAACAAGTCTGGTGGTGGGAAGAGCCATGTTAAGAAACAAGGCAACAATAAAGGAGTTGTGGATTTGAGGACATTGTTGATTCTATGTGCACAAGCTGTTTCTTCTGATGATCTTATAACTGCTAATGAGTTGCTGAAGCAGATAAGGCAACATACTTCTCCACTGGGTGATGGAACTCAGAGGCTGGCCCATTGCTTTGCAAATGCTCTTGAAGCACGCTTGGCTGGGACAGGCACTCAGATTTATACCGCTTTATCACATAAAAGAAACTCTGCAGCAGACATGGTGAAAGCTTACCAAATGTATATTTCAGCCTGTCCATTCAAGAAGCTTTCAATAATTTTTGCAAATCATACAATTTTGCAGCTAGCCAAGGAAGTTGAATCTCTTCATATTATAGACTTCGGGATCCGTTATGGCTTCCAGTGGCCAGCTCTTATTTATCGTCTATCAAAACACATTGGTGGGCCTCCCAAGCTGCGGATTACAGGGATAGAGCTCCCACAACCTGGATTCAGGCCAGCAGAGAGAGTCCAAGAGACCGGGCTTCGCCTTGCAAGATATTGTGATCGCTTTAATGTTCCATTTGAGTTCAATGCCATTGCACAGAAATGGGAAACCATCAAAATTGAGGACTTGAAGATTAAGGAAAATGAACTTCTTGTTGTGAATTCTATGTTTAGATTTCAAAATCTACTTGATGAGACAGTTGTGTTGAATAGTCCCCGGGATGCTGTCATAAATTTAATAAGGAAGGCAAATCCCACCATCTTCATACATAGTACTGTCAATGGGAGCTATAATGCTCCATTCTTTGTGACACGGTTCCGGGAGGCCCTTTTCCATTATTCTACATTGTTTGATGTGCTTGATACCAATGTTATTCGACAAGATCCAATGAGGTTAATGTTTGAGAAAGAGTTCTTTGGGCGGCAGGTGATGAATATTTTAGCTTGTGAGGGTTGTGAGAGGGTTGAGAGGCCCCAGACATACAAGCAATGGCAAGTTAGGATCATGAGAGCTGGGTTTAGGCAACTGCCCTTGGATAAACATCTCATCAACAAATTAAGATGCAAGTTGAAAGATGTGTACCACAGTGATTTCATGCTTCTTGAAGATGGCAATTACATGCTCCAAGGTTGGAAGGGCCGCTTAGTTTATGCTTCCTCTTGTTGGGTGCCTGCATAGGCCTTGACAATGTTCTTCCCTGGGTAAGGTTGTATGGAGACATAGAAGATAGTTTATCCCTGCTAATAGGGACATAGCACAGTTAAGTTTCAGTTCTCAGAATATTTTTAATTGGTTGAGTGGTGAGTATAACATTGAAATGTTGAACTCTTCCTTATTGAGTTCTTCTGATAGGCAATCCTAGACAATCTTAAGCAGCAGAATCTGAGATAGTGAGTGATTTTAGGTCTTCCAAAAGTTGAACTCCGGTGACATATGTCCTACACTAACTGGGTATGTTTTACTAACTAGGTATGCAAAACATTATCCTAAGGGCCATGGGATAATAGTCTTATCCATTGATGTACTATTAAAGTGTAGTCTTCATAATAGGAAGGATAATAAGAAGGGATGACTTCAGTGCATGTTGTCTTTCTCCTGTAACTTTGTATTTTTTTCTTTTTATGATATATCTTTTCCAAGTTTATATATTCAAATAACATTTTATTCTCTTTAGTAAACTATTTAATTAAAGGGAATTTATTTAACTTTTATTTTTTCTAAATTTCTTAATAAATGTATAAGTTTTATTTTTCTTCTTTCTTGACAGCAAATATCTTAAACCTAATATTTGGTGCTATGAGTGTGATAGTTGCAAATCCTTATTCAAAGTTTCTATTAAATCAATTTTCTAAAGTACTTTTTAAATTTTTATTTGTAATATTCTATTAGAGTTTAAAGCAGATGTATTATGTACGGAGGTGACATCTTCTTCCTTCTAAGGAGAAAATCTGAAATAAACTATTATAATAGAATGATTAGATTTTCACAAAATATATTTAAATACTGACATATGTTAATAATATTTATTAAATTTTATTAATTTATAAAAATAATTAAAACTGTTTGAAATTTTTTTAATGAATGTTTTATTCGCTTTTGTTTAATGAAAAAGGTGTGAAAAGGGAGGTGAAAAACAATAATTTCTCGGCGAAAAAGAAAATATTTAACAAAGTCATTTTTCACTTTAATGATGTATTTATTTATATGAATGTAAAAAAAAAGTGAAATATAAGAAAATATTATTTTATAAAATTATTTTTATTTAAATAAATAATTATTTATTTATAATATATATATATATATATATTAATAAATAATCATGATTATAAAACTTAAATAAATAATTTATAATTTTATTTATTTATAATATGATATTATTTTATTAATTTAATTTCAAATTATTTTAGAAGAAATATAATTTTATAATAAAAATATTTTATAATTATATATATGTTATAAAAAATTATTTATTATTTTAAAATAAACATTTTTTTCATGTCACTTTTTTAAAAAGTAAACAAAAACATTTTTATTTTATTTTTATTTTCTCACATTTTTTCTTTATTATCTAACATACCCTAAAAACAATTATTATCTTTAATTTGACAAATATCAATTAAATGAAACATTTTATTTTCAATTATTATTATTTTTAACTATTTTCAATAGTTAATAACCTGTATTTTGTCTTTAAAAAAGGAGTAGACAGTTTATGATGTTATTCATAGAAGGAAACAAACGATTCTGAAAAGTCTTAAAACAAGAGACTTGTGTAATATTGTTAATCAACTATTGACCAGCTGACAAACAAGAAAGAAACAATCAATATTTTTTTATTTATATCATCTTTTAAAATATTTATTCATTATAAATTTTACTATATTCAATGGATATTTATTTTTGGAAATACATATGCTAAAATACTAGTTGAATTTTCCTTATTATTTTATAAAGTTAATTTTTAAATCCTATTTATTATTAGTAATTTGGAACTGGTAAAAATAGTATTGAATTTAATAAACAAATCTCTTTTTTTAACTTGATTCAATTGAAAATAAATCTAACCCATCTAGAAGTAAAATTGATTATATGATGTAATAAATATTTATTATTATTATTATTATTATTATTATTATTTAAGTATAATTTTTGTTGATATAAATTATTTAATTTTATATTGATTTTTCAAAAGTTACTTTTAACATTACTTTTTATTAGTTGTGAGTGTAAATATTTTTTTCCGTATAATAAAGTTTAATTTTTTAATATTAAATAATAGTTTGTAATTTTAATTTTGGTTCGTCAGGGGCAGTTTAAGTCATATACGTATAGTATTTAAAAAATAAGACTTAATAATATAGTTGACTAGAGGTCAAAATATTATTACTATAAATATCTAGTAATTGTATACGATAGGACAGAACATTTTTCTAATATTTTAAAATCTTATGTTATTTAATAATAACAAGACAAAATGTATTTATAAATATTTTCTTTCTTTAACTTTGATGCTCTCTCAAAATAAAATAAAATCAATAGATTAGGGAACATGTCTTGTGTGTGAAAAAGTGTCGTGGATAATAAGAGGCATCATGTAGCAGTTTATTTATAGTATTGACATACATGTGATGTTCCACTATTTTGTGACTACAACATAAGCCTCTTTGGAACTCCGAACATTCGCGCCGCCATCCCTAAACTAAACCTATTATCCTAATAGTCAAAAGGGATGCTTTGCCTCTGTTATGCTCTGTCTATAACTTCTCATCCTTCTTCCTTCTCAACACAACATCATAAGCTCTTTCACTCTTACCATGGAGCACTCACACTTCTTCGGTGAAGACGAGGGCATAGCCCATATCGTAGACTCGCTTGCTTTTCCAACCATGGATTCTTCTTCCCGGGACCCTTCGCTCGAAGACAACGACTTCTCAGAAACTGCCAAGTTCATTAGCCAGATCCTCATGGAAGAGAACGTCGAAAACAAGCCATTCTACGACTCACTCACCTTGCAAGTCACCGAGAAATCCTTCTACGACGCTCTCGCCGGTAACCTACCTCCTTCCCCCAATCAACACCCCCTTGCTTTCAGTCCCGAAGCTGATACAACCACCACCAACAGCAGCAGCAGCAGCATCAACAACAACAATTTTTCAGATGAAAATTCTAGTGAGTTGAAGCTTCCCTCTCCAGATTCTGTTTCTGTTTTTACGTTTAACTCCCCCGCCCTTTCCCAACCATCTCCTTCATTTGCCGCCAATCATGGACTCCAAGATTTGGATTCTTCTATTGCCAAGCTCTTGGCACAGAATATTTTCAACGATGTTGATTCCGTTTCCCAGTTTAGGCGAGGCATGGAGGAAGCTAGCAAGTTTCTTCCTCCTGGGCCTAACCTTGTGACTGGTCTAGATTCAATTGGAGAACAAGCGGAAAATAAGTCTGGAGAGACTTCGTCTGGGTTGAAGAGTGGGAAGAATCACAAGCGGGAAGAGAGATACGCTATTGAAGAAGAAGAAAAAGAAGAAGAAAAAGGGAGAAGTAACAAGCAATCAGCCCTATCCCATGTTGATGAGAGTGACTTGTCAGATGCTTTTGATCGGGTGTTGCTTCATGAGGGAAACATGTGTAGCGAACACAGTTATTTGCCAAGTGGAGCAGTGAAGGTTGAGGAATCAGATGGAGGGAGGGGTCGTTCTAGGAAACAAGGGAGGAACAAGGAAACAGTTGATTTGAGGAATCTTCTGTTGATGTGCTCACAATCTGTGTATGCCAACGACAACAGGACTGCCAATGAATTGCTAAAGCAGATTAGGCAACACTCTTCTCCCTTTGGGGATGCATCACAGAGGTTGGCTCATTACTTTGCCAATGGCCTTGAGGCACGCTTGGTTGGGGATGGTACAGTTGCACAAGGAATGTATTCTTTTCTGATCTCCAAGAGGAGCTCTGCTGCTGAGTTTCTCAAGGCATACCAGGTTTTCCTTTCTGCTGCCCCTTTCAAGAAGTTTACATATTTCTTTGCAAATAAAATGATTATGATAGCAGCTGCTAAGGCAGAAACCATCCATATTATTGATTTTGGCATCCTATATGGTTTCCATTGGCCAATTCTTATTAAGCTTTTATCAAATAGAGAGGGGGGTCCTCCCAAACTGAGGATCACAGGGATAGAGTTTCCCCAACCTGGCTTTCGCCCCACAGAAAGAATTGAGGAGACTGGTCGCCGTCTGGCTAACTATTGTAAGCGATACAATGTTCCCTTTGAGTACAATGCGATAGCATCAAGGAATTGGGAAACAATTCAGGTTGAAGCCCTTAAAATTGAAAGCACGGAGCTAGTTGCTGTCAATTGTCACATGAGGTTTGAGAATTTACTGGATGAGTCTATTGAAGTGAACAGTCCTAGAAATGCAGTCTTGCATTTGATCAGGAAGATAAATCCAGATATTTTTACCCATTCCATCACTAATGGATCATATAATGCCCCCTTCTTTGCCACAAGGTTTAGGGAGGCTTTGTTTCATTATTCTGCTATTTATGATATGTGTGACACTGTCATACCTCGTGAAAACGAGTGGAGGTTGATGATTGAGAGAGAGCTTTTGGGCCGGGAGGCTACGAATGTTATAGCATGCGAAGGTTCTGAGAGACTTGAGAGGCCCGAGACATACAAACAGTGGCAGGTTAGGAATACAAGGGCTGGTTTCAAGCAGCTCCCATTGAATAAGGAATTAATGGCCAAATTTAGGACCAAGATAAAGGAATGGTACCACAGAGATTTTGTCTTTGATGAAGATAACAATTGGATGCTTCAAGGTTGGAAGGGCCGCATTTTGTATGCTTCCACTTGTTGGGTGCCGGCATAACGAGATGTTACTGAAGTCTGTTCAGAACTCGTACTAGATTCAAGGTGTGATTCTAAGAATTAGTCATTGGCTTTTACTCTGTTTATTTCTTGTTTTCCCTGTCAAAGACTCGAGTTATAGTCTGCTAACACTTGCTTATTGCTTGTGCTTTGAGATATTTCAGCTTGTTGTGACGGTGAAGCTTATTTTGCTCGTTACATTGTTTCAGGTTCTGGTATCCTTGGTCTGGTACCTACTTGTTTAACCTTCAGTTGCCGTGATGAAGATTTACCAAGATATGTATTGTGGCATGACTTTTCTAGTAGAATATAGACTTGTGATAATAATGCAATTTCTATGGTAATAAAGAAGGCGTATTAGAGTAGGAGGGTCCTTGTAGAATGTTTGACCGAGTACTTGTGATCAAAATATCGAGTTATTTTCTTTCTAACAAATTGTATTAGGCGTTTCACATCCTTCTATATTATTTGTAGTACGTTGTCTCTTGAGCCAAATTAGCTATTGAATTGACAGATGTGATTCAGTTGAAACAGATGACAAGGTTCAGTTTTTTTTTCCTGTGATATCGTTGCTTGCAGTTTTGTTTTGTTACACTAACTTGTGTGAAAGTCATGATTTCCAGCGATAGCATCTCTAAAATTGTCTGGTAAATTTGTACCACTGATCAAATAACTACAAATTTATTATCTATTGCTACAGCATAAATATAAACTAGAATAGTCAGATAAGAATGCTGACAAATGCCTTTTTCTCCTAGCCTTCTTTCCCTGCCTTAATTGCGCCACCAAAAAGTTTGACTTGTGACAATGCTTTACAAAATATAACTTAAGATCTTATATATTGCATACTGTTTGGTTCCAAAATTTTTTTAAACTTTTAAATTAACAATGGATTTTGATGCTTCTGGCTATGATGGCCATTGCCAACGTGAACTGGCCTATTTGCATAATCACTTTGCTTAGACCTGAAGCTTTTCCCTGTGATTTGTTTTCATGTCTGCCAATTAATCTGATGGCTGTTGCTCGTATCTATGCATGCGACGAATTGCATAAATGGAGCTGGCAATTTTTTTTCAATGCTTTCAGACTGTGAAAACATAATTTAAAAATTAATAAAATTATGAAGTTTTGTGAATATTGTTTTACCTGACAATCTTTCAATACCTCCAGAGTTTGTAGATCAAAAGGTGCTCTGGTGTATCATCATTGATTAATAAAACAAAAAGTCATTGTATTTTAAAAAAACTTTAATATTAAAACAAGAACTTTAAAATTAAATTTAAATAAAAGTTGATGGATGATTTATTTTAAAGTTTACAAATTAATTTTAAAACAATTAAATAAATAACTATTATATTTTGAATAATCAATGAAATGAAAAACATATAAAAGTTAATTTGGTTATTTTTCCTGAAAAGAATATTTTTTTTTTAGCTTTTCAAAGTTTTATTTAATATAAATGTATTAGAAGAGAAAATTTAAAGGGTCGTTTACTTTTGGGAAGATGTTCTCTTCTTTTATTTCCAAAGCTGTCTTTTTACTTTTAATTCATTTTATGTTTAAAAAAATTATACATGACATCTTAATCATATCATATTTTCTGTTCTATACCCTCACTTTCTTATATGTTTTCGTTATAACCACTTATCTTACCTTCTAACTTTATTATTACTATAAATAGGTATCATTTTTCTTCAAAATACAAGATTTTGTTTTATGAGTTTTGGCATGATAGTGTACAGGGATTACATTTGGTTTTATATGTTTATTATGGTATCAGAGTTCTTCCATTAAAATGCTCTGCTAGACACTCTCATCTTCCATCTCCCACTTTCATCATGAGTGGAAATAAAGAACGTATTTCTAATGTCAATAACCACTTGTGTTTTATACCCGAGTGATAACCCAACAATTGTCCTAGTCTCATCTATCACTGATTCCAGTAACTATTGCTCATGGAACATATCCATGATCGCTTATTTTACTGATAAAAACAAAGTTGAATTCATTGATGTCAGTGCTTCTTAACTACCAAAGTCAGATACAACATATGCAGCATGACGTCAATGCAATAATATGGTTGTATTATCGATTGTTCATTCTGTTTTCTCAATTTGACAAAGTATCATATGAATGGATCAAGATGAAATCTGGAAGGATTTGAAATCCATCCAGATATTCTCAAGGTGATCTTCTACGTGTCTCTGATTTATAATTCGAAACCTCATCTATGAAGTAAGGTGATCTTAATGTTAGTAAATATTTTACTAAACTAAGAATTATTTAGGACGAACTTGAAAATTTTAGACCAAATCCAGTTGTATCTGTCAATCAAAATGCACTTATATTGTTTCGTCTATATTTGCCCAACGAAAACTTGAAGATCGAGCTATGCAGTTTTTACGAGGATTAAATGAACAGTACAGTAATATTCGTTCACACTTTCTTCTCATGGATCTTTTATCATCTCTTTCTAAAATTCTCTCCTATGTGTCAGTAAGAGAGATAACTTGCAGGAAACAATTTATTCATCAATGTAGGATCTGACACCAAAGAAACAGTGGACAATGGTGTTGTTGTCTCTATTCACTGTACTCATTGTGGATGTACGGGTCATACTGCAAGTGCGTGTTATAGGAAACATGAGTTTCCTTCAATCTATGACAATAAAACTGTTAAAGGATTTGTTAATTGCAATACTAAATTTTGCTCTCATTGTGTACATACAGGACACACAATTGACGTGTACGACAGGGAATATGATTTTCCTCCAGGACATAACCTCTACAATGGTGATAAACTGCTCTCAGCAATAGCATTGTGACTGGTAAAAGTAAAGTCACTACAAATGACTAACAAAATCATGAGAACCAAGAATTTTTCGCTTCAGTATCAAACACTGCTAACTTTAATTCAACAATCTCAGCCTAGATCTTTAGCTCCCAATACATCTCATATAAACCAAATTGGTACAATTTCTTTTGATCAATTAGGTAAATTTAAGTATATAATCCCTTGGATCTTAGATTCGGAAGCTACCAATCATGTCTCCTCTTGATAATTTTCATTCTTACCTTAAAATTGATCCTACTAGTCAATATTTTACTACTACTCATTCTAGAGTTGTTCATTTTTCTGATTCTTGTTATTTAGTTGATGTTCTCTATATTCCCAATTTTATTTTTAATCTCATTTCTATTTTTGAACTTGTGAATTCTCTTAATTGTATTTTGGTTTCTTCATCTAATTCTTGTATCATACAGGATGCGACTACCATGAAGTAGATTGGTACAATTGATGTAAATGATGAACTCTACAAACTTTTTCTCAAATATATTATTTTCTCATCTGGTTTGTCCAGCATTGTTCATCCTCAATGTAAATATTTACCTTTTTTATCTTTGACATTTTTCATTTGGGCCATGTTTCGCATCAGTGGCAGATCTTGACCATTGATTTTAGGAGGGCCAAATAATATATTATTAATAAATAATAAATAAATATAAAAGAGTGAAATAAGATGAAAGGGTGAGAGGATAAACTTGTAAATGTATAAATAAATATATTAAATTATCATTAAGTTTGAGGGGATAAAATCATAAATTATATAAGAGTTAGAAGTGATGAGAGGATAAACTTTGAGATGCCAAAATCATAAATTACATAAGAGTTACAAAACTTTGGGGTGCCACGACCCCCCTCAACTCTCAAGAAGATCTGCCACTGTTTCGCATGATGGTCTAACGTCTATGAAACAATGTTATCCTTGTTTATCCAATGTAGAACTTTTGTTTGTAACACATGTCACCAGTCAAAACAAAATAACTTGTATTTTCCATTAAGCAATTCTCATGCAACTAAACATTTTGAACTGCTACATATAGATATATGGGGACCATGTTTGAAATTATCTATACATGGGTACAAATATTTTGTAATAATTGTGGATGATCACACATGTTTTACATGGGTCTATTTAGTGTTTTCCAAAAAACATATCATCAATTTTATCATTCATATAGAAAATAATTTGAGACTCATGTTAAACATATTCGCACAGATAATAATGTTGAATTTCTTATGCATCAATATTTTCTATCTAAAGGCGTCATCCATCAACCACACGCACAGAAACACCCCAACAAAATGGAAACACCAACATTTGTTAAATGTTACACCAGCCTTACTTTTTCAATCAAATTTACCACTAACTTTTTGGTGTTTTGCTTTACTCCATGGAGTCTATTTAATTAATTGCATTCCCACCCCTTTCTTGCATAACATATTCTCTTATGAAAAGTTTTATCACCATCCCTGTGACATTTCTAACCTTCATGTTTTCGGTTGTCTGTGTGTTACAATAGTATTGTCACTGCTAATCACTCTAAACTTGGCCCATTAGCTCATCCTTCCATTTTTATTGGCTTCAAACAACACACCAAATGATATTTCCTCTATAATCTTCACACTCATACTGTTAAAACATCCCGACATGTTATTTTTTATGAAGATTATTTTCCATACTTCTCCAATCCCCCATCTACATCATCACTATGTTTACTAAATACCCATTCTTTTTTCCTTTGAGTCGAGTGATCATGTGAGAATGTGAGAAGAGAAGTCCCACATAGGAAAATTATATGTTGGTGCTTACTTTTCTTGTTATAAAAGGAGCACAATGTTTACTTTGTAAATCACCCTAAATCTTTTCTTTCTTCTTTCTACTAGTGCATTGCATAGTAGTTGAATTATCTTATTTCTGAGGGTGAATATTATTATTATTTTTTCCTTATATTGAAAGAGGGTATTGTAATTTCTTCTGGTAGTAAAATTCTATTATTGTCTGTTTTGTTTCTCTTTTCTCGTATTTTATTTTTTAGTTGTGAGTTCTTATGCAGTTACTCTGATTCGTAATAGTGGTATCAGAGCCATGATTGGTTTCTTATTTATAATATTATTTTGCTACTATAGTCATTAGAATAGTATTGGAGAAAATTCTTA